TTGTGTATCGGGTTTTGCAGAAGGTCACCATTTGCTACCTTGTCATTTCTGTAAGGCGTCTGGCGTGCATTTTTTCACACCTGCAATTTACGTTACTTAGGACGGAATCAACAACACGTTGGTGTATTTTCGCAACCGTGCATTCCGGATCATGCGGTGCGCACATTTTTCTGAGGATCTTTTCTGGAGATCCCTACGCACACTCATGGTTGTGCAGGTTTGTTTACATAAATGGTAATAGAGTTTTACGAATAAGCTTGTGAAAATAATGCGTGTCGTGTGTTTTCCTGTAATCTCGTTGGATCTGATTGGTAGTTTTGTTCAAGAGAATAGCCGCACAACATAATTTGTTTAAGTTGTGCGTCACATATGTTAGTGTTTGCATCAACTGAAAATACTCATTCTCCCCGCTGGAACCTGGCTGAAAATGAACTCTAAATCACCACCCATTTTGCTGGTTTTGATTGCTCTCCTTGGTAAGTAACAGTCGAAAATGTTCTTATACATGGGGATTAGAACAAAAATTGTGCTAAATGACACTAGCTGTTGTGATGATCGTTTTCAAGGTGGATGATTTGCCTGATGCGACAGCACGATTGAAGCCGATGAATATGGGATTCCCCTACCGCGGAAGCTCGAAGTCTCGCTGCGACCACATTTTTACAGATACTATGAAACTGTTTGGCACATTCAGTCAAAATTCCAGTAATTTCAATACATTTTCGTCTATTTGTGTGCTCAAAGACACATGCGTTGCCTATTTATTGGTTTATCCTCATTAGTTCAAACAGTTACTAATCTGTGCAGATATGGAACGAACTATGTAACAAAAGGCCCCCAAAATTATGCATTAATTACGCTCCCTGAATCCGCGTGACCATTAACGGATTACCGAACGGCGGGAAATGCTTTAATGAAATGCCTAGGGGAAAACGTCGACTAACACTCATAAAGTGAAATATGTAGATTATTTGGCAGCTGAGTAGGTCGCTGACAAGTTACGTGCGCGGGCATATTTGCACATACATGGAGATATGAACGGGCAGTTATATGGTTAGCTGTCCAAGTAAATGTATAATTAGATAGATTGCGAATCGGACAATACATAGAGAGTTTGATAGATAGATATATGGATGGACACATAGGTATGCGGACAGATAGATGGTTAACCTTATAGGCATGTACACAGGTTAATCCAGGTATAAATACATAAGTATATAAAAACGTGTGTAGACACGGAGGTCAATGCATGGACATAAATAAATAAACGGCCTCGACTGCAAAACAGGAAAAAATTAACATCTGTGAAAAAATCAGTTTACACTGATGATTGGTTCAGTTACAATCACTATGATTTTATGTAAGGTATAAAATCATTCACTTTTGAGAGACGGTCTATCGCACGTCAAAAAAATTCAAACCCAAGGATTCGTCCCTGTGGTAAGCCATTGGAATAGGATGGCTATATGACGAATGTGCTATTCGTTTCACCAATCTAGCACTGTTAGGGTCTTTGCAGTCGGCCCATTCCCAATGAGCGTGCGGCTCGAAGAAAGTATTTACCCCAGTTAGATCTCTATTCCTGACTCTTTATTTAAAGCGCCAGTCTCTGGAACGACGAGTTATTGTGACTAAGCTACACACATTCGCAAGCCAACTGAGAGAACAGATGGATTAGGTTGACATTGGTAGTCCTGGTATCGACCGATAAATGCTTGCTGCCCCACCTGAGATATTAGTACGCTGTCCGAAAATGCCCCTATCCTTTGGTTTTGGTCACCCAGTAATGGTGTGTTCGTGAAATACACCCTCAAACAAAAATGTAGCTGGAAATACAACGAGCTTATTATATTCAACCCGCTCAACGTCTGACTAAATATCCGACGTTAGATGGTAAAACGAATCCAGAGCTATATTTCATTCCAAATTTCCACCCGCATATTTTCTAGCCCCTTTGACAACTTAACTCACCAATGAGGATTGGAATTGGGAGTGCCGCTGTAAGTGATCCGTCTCGACGGATCGCCTAAGGTGGACTAAAATCAATCTTTTGCGTGGATCGATTCGGCTGTTCGAAGGAGTGGAATAAGTGTAAACGTCTGAAGAAAAATGTCCATGTGTGTTATTTCGTCTCATTTTATCACTGATGAAGGTTTCGCTCTGTATATCGTGCATTATTCTTTCTCCAGTGGGTTAGACAAAAACATCGGTTCAGAATTTGAAACATCTTGTAGTCCCCGAAGTGCTTACTTGCCTTTGCACATTAAGACCATGTCAACTATCCTATCCGCTACACGCTGTGACCGGCTATATCATCAAATCCTCACTTCCTTATTTCAGGATGACAACGCCTACACGGGTGAACAGATCAATAGTTATTTGACTAGACATGTGGTAGTGTTAAACATGCGTAGATGGATATAATTAGTCGTGAATACGGAGATGAAGACATAAGTATAATAATTTAAGTCCCGTGCAACTTACCCTGCCTTATCTTGGTATTTTGTTTAAACCACGAACATTGTAAATTTACGATTTCTTGTTTCCTTGACTAATAGCAGTAACAATGTATACAAAAGAGTGCCGTGGCATTGAACCGGTGCCAGTAATGCAGACTGTTTTGATTTACCCATGACAAATTCCATGAATAAACGATTCAGATCGGTCTAGCATGTACGTGTATATATGCGGGCTGGAACATAGATGTAAGATGAAGGAAGTAGTGAAAATGATTGGTTTAATTTCCCATGCCTAATTTTAGTTGGGCATTGTTTCGTAAATATTGCGCCTTCGATGTCTATGATATGAAATAGTGCCCTTCTTCATTATGTGCAAATAGACTGATATCCTACACTGTGGAAAACCTGGAATGTCTCGTTATTTACCGCTAAAATCAACATTTTTCTGCTAATNTGTGCTATTCGTTTAACCAATCTAGCACTGTTCGGGTCTTTGCAGTCGGCTCATTTCCAATGAGCGAGCGGCTCGAAGAAAGTATTTACCCCAGCTAGATCTCCATTCCTGACTATTTATTTAAAGCGCCAGTTTCTGGAACGACGAGTTATTGTGACCGAGCTATACACATGCACAAGCCAACTGAGAGACCAGATGGATTAGGTTGACATTGGTAGTCCTGGTATCGAACGATAAATGTTTGCTGCCCCACCTGAGATATTTGTGCGCTGTCCAAATATGCCCTTATTCTTTGCTTATGGTCACCCAGTAATGATGTGTTCAGGAAATACACACTCAATTAAAAATGTAGCTGGAAATCCAACGAACTTATTATATTCAACCTGCTCAACGTGTGACTAAATATCCGACGTCAGATGGTGAAACAAATCCAGAGCTATATTCCATTCCAAATTTCCACCCGCATATTATCTAACCTCTTTCACAACTTAAATCACCAATGGGGATTGGAATTGGGAGTGGCGCTGTAATTGATCCGTCTCGACGCACCGCCTAAGTCAGACAAAAATCGAGCTTTTGCGTGGATCAATTCGGCTGTTCGAAGGAGTGGAATAAGTGCAAACTTCTGAAGAAAAGTGCGCGTGTTTGTTATTTCATTTCATTTGATCACTGATGAAGGTTTCGCTATATAACTCGTGCATTATTCTTTGTCCGGCGGGTTAGAAAAAAATATGGGCTCAGAATTTGAAACATCTTGTAGTCCCCGAAGTTTTTAAAGGCCTGTGCAAACTTACACCATAAAATGCCAACTATCCGCTACACGCTGTGACCGGCTCTGCCATCAAATCCTCACTTCCTTATTTCAGGATAACGAAACCTACACGGATGAACAGATCAATAGTAATTTGACTAGATATGTGACAGTGTTAAACATGCGTAGATGGATACAATTCGTCGTGAATACGGAGATGGAGACATAAGTATAATAATTTAAGTCCCGTGCAACTTCCCCTGCCTTATCTTGGTATTTTGTTTAAACCACGAACATTGTAAATTTACGATTTCTTGTTTCCTTGACTAATAGCAGTAACAGTGTATACAAAAGAGTGCCGTGGCATTGACCCGGTGCCAGGAATGCAGACTGTTTGGAGTTACCCATGACAAATTCCATGATTAAACGATTTAGATCGGTCTAGCATGTATGTGTATATATGCCGGCTGGAAGATTGATGTAAGGTAAAGGAAGTAGTGATAATGATTGGTTTAATATCCCATGCCTAATTTATTTGGGCATTGTTTCGTAAATATTGCGCCTTTGATGTCTATGATACGAAATTTTGTCCTTCTCCATTATGTGCAAATGGACTGATATCCTGCACTGCGGAAAACCCGGAAAGTCTCGTTATTCACCGCTGAATTCAACATTTTTCTGCTTATCAGCCGGCAGATCGCGTGCGTATACTATCCAAGGTATGTGGATCAATTCCAAGGTGAAAAATATTAGGGCACAAAAAATAAGTGTACTGCATTTGGACAAGTAATCAATTCACCCGACATCTGCCGCGGACAGTCTGTTATTTTTACAGTTCCGCAACCTTTTGACCAACAATCTGATTAAAATTCAGCCTGTGCTGCTTGACGTATGCCTGCGGAATTTTCCCAAACTGACTAACTTGCTTTGTGGTGCCAATAGCTACTTTCCTATTGCCCTTCCAAATGTTCATTTTAACAGAAGACAAATGTTAATGAAACACAATAATCTGATATTCGTTTTACTCAACGAATATGACACAAAATATATAGCTCAAACGAATTTATGTTACATTGGTTTTAGCAGGATTAACTAGTAATAGATGCTATGAATGGTTCAAGTGCGTGATTGATCCATCTAACGGCCGCAAACGTGCATTTTCTATACCAACACGATCCTGCTCCTTAGTGGTTTTTAATAAAAGACATTTATATGTTCAGTTCATTGGCACCAGTTGAAAGCGAGGGTTTACTACGCTCTCTGATATGTTGGTGATACACGCAAGATGAAATACCATAAAACGGTTTTCTCATTATTTGGGTTTGCATAACATATGGAGTAGTAATTTAGTTTTAACATTTCTAGAACTTAACAACCGTGAGTTCATCAAATTATGAGCACCCCATTTTGCCGCACTGTGGGTACCCACGCGATACTATGGTAAATGTTTGCGCCAACGTTAATGAACCACGTTAAAATCTATCATCGAGGAGCTTAAAAAAGTGTGGCCTTATGGTTTTGTTCAAAATATATTGTTGTTCTAAAACCAGTAAGGCGGCGATGATAATCGAGATGAGTAATGGAACGTATAGTGTGATCCACCATTTGAGCCTGTCGGAAAACACTGTCTACACTTATTGGAATAGTCTTCATTAAATTCTTCAAACCCAAGCTGGATTACCTCCCAGAAATTTTTTGTCATTCACATCAACAGAGAAAATAGTGTAAACTTTAAAATTTTTACACACTTTCACATCATATCGGCACTCATGTTGGACGAGTGCTTTGCTAAAAGATAGAAAAAACTGAGCATTTCCCTATAGGCCGCGATCAACCTCGTTAAATGCCTAGTTGCCTAGACTTTGGCGCTTGATCCGGGCTAGCATCAGTGATCAATCGCGGTCGCACCGTGAGTTTATATTACCTTGAACAATTTGTATTGTAGGTCTAAAAGCACCAGAATACTCGTACATTTTCACTTTTCACAAATTTTGTAGTTATGTCAGAACGGCCTGCGGCTTCATAACGGAGAATTGTACGACCGTATTCAGCAACGGTTGATTTTGGGAGAGTGTGTCCAGAGTCAGACACATTCATGTCCAGAGGCAAATGTTGTTGGCATGACAAAATCCGTCTTGGCTGAGAGGCTGGTTGCTTCGAGATTGGCTATGCAGTTACCTTTCTTCCTGCATGTTTCTAATGTCAGCTCCAGTTTTCGCAAGGCCATTAAATGTGAATCACTGTTGGGTGCAACGCATTCATGAACCCGAAACGTGTTTTAAAACTCATTTTAATAAGTTAGCACTCATTTTACCGCGACATTTTTCTGCAGCTCAGTAGAGTGCCGCAGGATAATTTATTGCACCATCACACTCTAAAACAGAGCATACTCAAAAAAACCGCATTATTTTAAGTTGTATTTTATAAATCCCATATGTTTCATTGCAATCCGCCTCAAACCATTCTGTTCTAGATTTCAAAGCCTTTTTCGAGGATGGTTAGTTCAAATCATAAATATTGGAGGTACTCATTGGTGTGCTATGATTCGTAATGTTTGCATTTCACTCACGAGCTCCAGCTAGAGATGAAAGAGGCAACATGCGTGTACGGCAGTGACCAAAATGATCGTACATATTAGAGCAAAGATTGATACCATTAGATTTTTCCGATGGAGGGCCTTTAGCTGCATCGATTCGTCAAGGTAGCTTCCGTGCGAGCCAAGTAAAACAAAAGTGTAGCATTTGTTGTCAAACTCAAGTTGGTCCCTAAATTTTGCGTGTATTATAATTTTCGTGTAGAGCTTGGCGTAAAAAACCGAAACACAAATCTTGATCACATTTAAATCCTACTTCATACGATACGCCCTCCCTTCAGCCGGACTTGCGGCAAGTAGGTTAGAATGTCGTACTAGTGAATTTGGTTCACTGTCTATTGTCAGCTCCTTTGATAACCTTTATTTTATCCGCAACTTAACGGAGGTAACCGATAGACGAACATATTTCAGACGGCCCAGCAACTGTCCAATGAAAGGCATTTTGGGACATAAAAATCCGTGTTCGAAGAGTATATATTTTCAAGTGTCGTATTTCAATTTGGAAACGTGTGCACTTACTTACGCAGAACAATTCCCTTGGTGCATTCTTTCAGGATGAATATGGGTGTTTTGGTGCCTAGGATGACTTGGTATAGTTACAAGCGGCTTGTTTCATCAAAAATGCATACTGTGGTATAATGAGTAGCCCGCAAAATGGAAAGCTTAACGGTCTTCGAGCAGCAACTTCAGAAGTCACTCCGAGTTTTTCATATGCGCAGTCGGCTGGTGCCAAATGTAGACTTCGAAGGCGTCGCTGTGCGTGTGTGGCCACACGATTGTATTTCACCAGCGTCGTTAAAACTTGGACGACGTCATAACAATGGCGATCACAATGCTAATTTGGGGAACTTCGTCACCCAGATGAAAACCCATCTAGTATATTCCTATTGAATCTAGCGTAGTCACATAATAATGTAGCATTTATTCGCTTTCTACATACGCCTCACTTCCATTCACATATTCGCCCACATCTGCGACCACGGTTCACTTTGATGCCAGGGAGTCTTGTGCAACATTGGTATTTTATGGCGTTTGCACAAATGTTGCGCCTAATCCAACGATATCACCGAGAATATTTTGAGTTTATTGGTGGATAAAAATGACTATCCGATGCTGCTCAGAACTTTGCGAAGAAGAACATATCCTGGCGTCATCAAGAGGGTCAGCCTCCTTCGCTCACCGTCGTACAGTAGACATTCAGGCGGAGGCTTCATTTGCACAAAAATCAGATGGCCGTGTAAAGACTCAGGGGCTCGACCCGATGTCAGGACGAGATATCAGGCATTTCTCATTCCCAGTTACCAGTGATCTGAGACACCCTCCGATAATGAAGATTACTAAATTGGATCGTTGTTAACCATGCGTTGTTTTTAACAGCTTCAACATGTTAGAAATATTATCATGTTCAAATTTCACGATCGGCTTTTCAAGGATTCCCATACCATTTAGGGCGAACAGCCGGAAATATGCCAATAGGTAGTATGAGCGACAGCCCATGAAAGAAAAGGTGGATGGTGGTGACGAAGGAAACGTGATTGCCTGATCTCACGAGTATACAACGGTCAAAATATCTCGCTGACTTGAATGATCACTTTAGAGCCGAATGTTGTTAACAGACAAGATGAACCGCTACAACAAAAAGGAAGAGTAAACAAAATGTGTCATTTATGCGCGTAACCGTTCAACCCGTTTGCAAGGTGGTGGATACTCGGGAGGTATGTATTCAGGAAACTAGCTACCATCAACAATCTTTCTTTCGAGATGCAGTGGTTAAAATTTATATTTTTGCATGTTGATTGGTTAACTGTAGAACTGAATTGAAAGAAAAGCAAGCTACGAAACGCTACTCCTTTCAAATTGTCTGAGGCAAATATATTTCCATCCAGTTGCTAGCAAAATGTAGATTTAAGAGAATCTCCACAAATCGTGCTCAGCATGCTCAATAAGTGTCTGTCTATGGTAGAGTTATTCCGTCATTAAAGTTTCGCAAACAGATTGAACGACGCGTTATTGCCGTGGAAAATGTCACAAGGCTTTGCTTGGAACCTGATCTTTCCTGGGTCTGTTACTTGAACCCAGTTTCGCTCTATCCTGGCTTCGTAACTTTGTGGTTAGTGACAGCTAATTGATGTCAGTCGGTCAGGCAACCGTAACAACAGTTCGTGGCCAAACGTGACGGTGGACACTGAGCCGATGGGGCAGTTTCACCACGCCATGCTTCCACAGAATACATTTTGTTGTCGAAAAGGAGAATCCTATTGCAGGAAGCGTTCGTTTGTAATTTTCATTGGTTGGGACAGCCCTGACAACAGCACAACTCCAAGTTCAGCGGCATCGGCCGAAGTTTTAATGTCTCATGAGGCGGACCTTTTTAAAATAACTGAATCTTGGCAACGCACCTTAATTTGGCTATGTAACGGTGATGTTGGCGGTTTCCTTTTAGACAAATTAATGAAAGAATGTTTTGGATTACTCCGCAGGCAATTGTTATTTAAATCAAACCATTCAAATACGATCACGAGTTTGTCGCTTGAGCTGAGTTGAAAGGTTTATGACCCTAGAGGACCGACACTCCACCTTTAGCTCTGGAATCATTCTGCGAGCGATAATGTTTTCATGCAAAAGTTTGTTGCTGTCGTGTGCGCTGAACACATCATTTATCACACGGAGATAGTTAACAGAAAACTCTTGAAATCCTACAAAAATAGCATCTGTTGAGCCCCATTCGTCTCTCGCTAAACCACGAGTTAGCAGTATTCCTTGATCCATGCAACTTTTTTGAGAAAGAGACGTTTAAAGCGCTTCATGGGTATATCGGGGTTTTTACGTTCGGGTGAATAGCTGAAATTTCAATCTGTGACAGGGGACACTCTTCGCCCATGGAAGGATATTTCGTGAAGCCCGGCATCAATTGTGGGATTTTCCGATTTAGATATCTATACCTGGAATTTTTCTTCCAAGATGAATTTCAATAATGTGTTTTACTCGCTGAGCTTCGGCCAACTGACATAGACCTGGGGGAAACAGTTGACTGAAAACAATTTATTTAAATTCGTTTAGGCTTTCGCGAAACTTCTAACTGCAAGGATCAATTAGCACATCCAACCAGTGGAATTATTTTATACCACTCGCGCGATAGACGGACCTGCGCTGTATAGACCAGATGGTATGAAAGTGTGGCTGGCGTGTGAACAGGAATGTGCTACTCTTTTACATGTGGCAGCAGTCAACCTCGTTGAAATCGCATACCAAGCAACTATTAAATTCCGGAGCCGTGTTGTCGCTAAATAATAAAACCCACCAACCAAAAAGTTCCCTCAAAAAGAGCCCTTTATTCTAATACATTGCGGTAAATTGCGGTTACTTCACGATCGATATATGCCGCAGTTGAAATCACATAATGATTACGGTCATATGCAAATAAAACCCCCAAAAAGTTCCCTCAAAAAGAGCCCTTTATTCTAATACATTGCGGTAAATTGCGGTTACTTCACGATCGATATATGCCGTGCCGCAAATCATATAATGATTATGGTCATATGCACACTACATACTTCCAAAAGAAAAGAGAGAAATTTGATCTGACCGTGTGGACCAAGGAGAGCTTTCCGCTGCATTTCAGCATGTGCTAGCAAACTGGCCAAAAGTGCTTCTCGGTTTCGTTATCACCAGATGACGTTTCTCTAAGTTCCCCTAATAGGTAGGATGTCCCAACAAAGTTGTGAATATATTTTGAACCGGTAGTAACCAGTCATCCCAGTGTATACATGCTGATTCTAAAACACTTTAGTAGCAGGTGCTGCGTTCCGTTAAAAACAGTCTTTTATGCCTACTTTGGCGTCGGGCAGTTAACCAACAGTCGGGTGAGGTGCCTGCAAGAACAACTTTAATGCTCCTGGTGTCTCGCAAACACACACCAATCGCGGCGCTTTGATGACCGACACCGCGAATTACTTTCTGCGGTAAACATGGTACCGTGTATCATTGCATCAGCTTGTGTCGTTTCACAGAACTCAGAACTGCACTGGACAGCAAATCTTGTTATCTGCTTCGTAGTAGTCACCGCTTGATGAAATTTTGTGGAAAAATGACTGATAAATGGTCTACATATTGCTTGCGACTGGATTGTTTAACTCCAGATAATTCCACTTCAGTTTGTGATTGCAGTCCTTCTTCTCTCCTGGTTTCAGTTTACGGAATTCTATATCGAGTCAAGAACGGTAAGTTTGCCTTACTAGGGCAATTTTTCTTGGTCATTATGACATACAATATATATGCCTTACATCGAAATATCCACAGGTATACCTAGGTGGTAATTTGCAGCTATTTGTGCTTCTTGAGGTAATTGGATTTTTATGTGCAGTAGGAAGTAGTCGCAATCGGCCAAAAGTTTCAGACTTAAAACGCAGCTCAGTTTAGCCGTTAATCCGACTCAACCAATATGGCAAGCAAACTCTTTCTACTAGTGTGGCTATTGCAGTTTGGTCTGCTGATATCTTGTCTTGCATTGCAAAATGAAGCCAGTTTCCAAGTGCCACTCCAACTGCTTGATGAGCTAGTTTTGAACATCTGGCGTTGCATTCTGACTGGTTTTGGATAATCTGAATACACCATGGAAATCACTAATA